CTTCAGAAATTGCAGGAAATTTGTCGCACAAATATTTAAAGCAGTCACCTTGTTTATCTAAAGCTTTGACAAACTGCCTCATCAATCTTAACTTTATGTGAAGAGGAGGCAAAAGAACTAATTTTGGGTCAACTAGTGTATGACTGTATGTAGTGTATTCTACACAATATTTACTGGATACCTCACTGTTTCTTTACTCTGTTGTTGTATTAAAAAGAGAAGAAAAAAATTGGAATGTCACTGGCGAAATAAAATTTTGACGATGAAGGAGTCTTATATCTATAGAACTTGCAAAAGTTTACAAAGATACTGAAGACGTGACTTAATCGCCCCTATTTTCCGAAAAATTCCCCAAACCGGGATTGCTGTCACCAAATGTAATATTTAGTGGGATTTATGTGAAGGTTGAGAAGCGGGAGAGGGGTTAAGGACTTCTAGGTCTCAGGTCCTGTAAAGAGTTTGAGTCTATGGGCTTACTTTAGAAGCCGGATAAATGTATGAGCCGAAATTTGGTACTCTTCTGGTCTCTGTCTGAATCGGTCGGAAGGAATATAAAACCAATTTTAGAGTCTACAAATGTATTGAATATACTATGTGGTATACAATTAAGTTAACAAACTGTCAGATATAAGTTTTAATAACTCGTTCGGCGCGAAGGGAGACGAGAAGAGATCTTAGCAAGAAAGTAAAGGGGCGACAATCTGTAATACTATAATTTACTCGGGTTAGTATATAGAATTTTGTTACCTTTCGCGTATTTAGGCTCTAGCTAATGATACGCCCTTCAGTTCCACGGAAATCGGATTTCTTTCAGTACCCGACACTTATACAGAACTATATCCCGTCGAAATATAACAATCGCGCGTAATCCGCACCTGGTGATACTCTCGTATTAACCACTATGCCCGAAGACACCGACTGCCTTCGCTATTACTGATCGCGTACTGGACGCTATCGCGTCCGACCCGATGCCGGCAATACTGCCTGAGCGGCCAGTCACGGTGCCCCGCTTATACTGACTGACTCGCTATTACTGACTGCCCCGACTCCTCTGTTCTTCTTGTTTTTATTGAGCTCGTATTTTCAATGCCGGTTATAGTGCCAAGGTCGTGTTTTCGCTGAGTTGTAAATCCTATGCGTTATTTGGGTCACGAGCGGTGTTATTTTTACAACAATAGTTTCTGTTTGACGTGCTTTTTCTACGTTTAAACAATTATCAAACAATGCACTAACTAGGTCAATTTCTTTGTGTAATTTAAAATGTATACTTTACTGTATTAATTATCCCTTATTTGATTTGGAATATATAATAATCATTAAAATGATTATTATTCTCCCCTATGCTACAAACCTTTATTTTAATCTTTACTTTCTTGCTATGTTTACATTACACCTTGCACATTTTTTTGTTCCGGTACAAGTCTTTCTCTGAGTGGCCACCCTTTCTTAATGTAATGTAAATTTCGTGCTCGACTGTCCCACTTGCACAAAAAACATGGAAACTTTGTGAATCCAGAGTGCCAGAGCCCTTAAGCATTCATATTATTTTGTGATCTCCTCAGACTTGCTGACAATATTCGATATACTTTATTTTATTTAGCAACAACTCAAGATTATCATATATTTCTTTGAAATGCATGGAGTGAGCAACAGGCACTGAGGCATAAGTATTACCATTGTACAACAAGACACCCTTCTGACTTCTCTTGGAAGAATCAATAAATAACCACCATGATGTGGAATCGTAATTGTCAGCTCCCAGTTTCATGACTACGTCAGGAATATTATAACAATACACCAGTGAGCCCTCTTGAGAAAAATATTTCTCGAATTCTTTTTCACAATGCCCATACCACAAAAATGTGGTATCTGGAGCCAATAGATTTTTATTTTTCAGTCGTGATTCTAAGATTTGTGCAGTATCCTTCGATAGGCCCAAGTCTCTCACTAAGTCATTTAGTTCAGCTTGGATAACCTTTTGACGTTGGTCTATATCAGGATTGAATTCGTCTTCATCGGTTTTTTCGTCTGACCTTTCATCTGATGATTTTTGTTGAATGGTGTGAAATAAGGTGAAGGAATAGGGATTCCTGGTACATGAGATACAAGTCGTTTAGTAGAAGGTAAATCAGGGTATTAAATTTTGTGTTTATTTTTTGAATTAAAACCCTTGATATCGCAGGCGCAAAAGTAGAAGTCATCTTCATGGTTTTTTGGTTCTCTCCATATTATAGGAATGCCGAAAGGTAAAGAGTTATGTGTACCTTTTGTCTATTTTCTTAGTGACTTGAGACACTGAAAGAACACTTTGTGTGGAGCCCAAGGTTTGTCCTGATCACCAAGTTTTACACCGAAGTGAGCGCGATGAGCTTTCTTTATAAAGTCTGTTATTTTTCGTTGATGCTTTCCTATTGTTAAATCACCACACACGTAACAAAATATAGCAGGACTGTTCCTTCACTTTCTTGCTGACATTATGGCGCGATACAATGAACATAGTATTTTAAAGTAATAATTTTAATGCAATTTACGAAATATCAATAAGATATTTGTTTGCTCTAAGTACATAATATCTTACAAGGTTTTTTTAATTTCGTGAACAATTTTGGTACCATTCGTCAAACCACCTTCCTCATTAGTTTCCTCTGGAGCAGTTGGTAAATTTGGGAATATAGTCCCTATTTTTTCTATGACCTTATTATCTTCTTCATTTTTTGTAACGAAAACTGCCATGTCCCCTGTTGTTTCGGAAAGATTTCCTTCCTTGACAACAGTGTTCGAGAAGATCTCCTTCGAGCAGTCCTCGTTAAGCACTTCTATATCATCCCCGCAGTCCATTCTTTCGTTAATTATTTCGATTTTCTTTTTGACTCCTTCTGGGTTAATTAAATAATTAACTATTATATTAAAAAAATTATAAATAATATTTGTAAAATCATGAATGTGTTGTTTGTGTGAGTCCATTTCAAATAGGTAAAGAAATAATAAATAAGACTTACAATCAATTTAATTTAACTATCAGATGACCGGTTTCGCTTTCTACAATATGCAAAGCATCCTTGGGTCTCGATACTTAGTTAAATAAATAAATAAATGATGCCGGTACTCTATTAATTGATGGATGGTAGAACATGGTTGAAACTACTATGTATTGTTGAATGGAGAACTCAATTCTGCTATTGTATCTCCATTCAACAATACATAGTAGTTTCAACCATGTTCTACCATCCATCAATTAATAGAGTATCGGCATCATTTATTTAACTTTGTATCGAGACCTGAGGATGCTTTGCATATTGTAGAAAGCGAAAATGGTCGTCTGATAGTTAAATTAAATTGATTGTGAGTAAGTCTTATTTATTATTTCTTTACCTATTTAATATTTATAATTTTATAATATTATGTACAGTAGTACTAACATCAAAGAAATGCGTCAAATATCTGGGAGTGACACTAATGGCGGGAGCATATACGGGTGGTGGCCTAGAAGGCAGCGAAGGATAACGCCTCACATTAAAGGACCCAAATGAAAAAGGAGGAGGGCTTAATATGATGTTTTGCAGTTAATCATCCTTTAAGCGGCATCAGTCTGAAGTGAGACGGTAGAGGTATCGACCTACAAAGGGCTCATGATACGAGTAGACCGAACAAGTCTGTTGCGAGCAGCATGCGTTTACAGTACTGAATATGAGGCGGTCTTGTAGACTATCACGGGTTGTATTCCTCTGCATGTGTTAGCAGTAGAAAGAAGACATCTCTATGAGAGAAGAGAATATTTGACAGCAGCCATAAAAAAGAAGAAAGAGAAAGATCAATAGACAGATGATCTTCTTCTTCTTCTTATGGCGCCGTCTCCTTTCGAAGGTTGGCGATCCAAATGGCAATTGTAGTTTTGGAAACTGCTGCGCGAAAGATTTCTGCGGATGAGCGGTCGAACCATCTCCTTAGGTCTTTCAGCCATGAGTTCTGACGTCTTCCTACTGATCTTTTGCCTTGTACTTTTCCTTCCAGTATAACTTGAAGTAATTTATATTTTTCGCCTCTCAACACATGACCCAAGTATTGCATTTTCCTCTCTTTGATTATTCTTAGTAATTCTTTTTGTTTACTCATTCGACGAAGTACCTCAACATTAGTAACTCTTTGTACCCATGGAATTCTCAATATTCGTCTGTATACATACATCTCAAAGGCATCTATTCTTTTTTCTATTTCGGAGTCCATTGTCCAACTTTCACAGCCATATAGTAAGACAGAAAAAACGTAGCATCTAATCATTCGGATTCTAAGCTGCAGACTAAGGTCTGATCTTGTAAAAAATGTTTTCATGCTCATGAATGTTCTTCTTGCTTGTTCGATTCTTGATAGTATTTCTTTTTTTGGGTTATACTGACTATTGATATTTGCTCCCAAATATTTTATAGAATTTACCTGTTCTATCATTTGACCCTTGGCATACACATGTATGTTTATTGGTGTCTTTGAAAATACTAAAGTTTTCGTTTTGGAAACATTTAGATGTAAGCCGAACATTTCGCTGTGGTGAACTACCGCATTTATTATATTTTGTAGTTCTTGTGCGTTGCTTGCTATTAAAACAGTATCATCAGCATATCTGATGTTGTTTATGCTGATTCCGTTAATCTTAACTCCGCCTTGGACCTGATCTAATGCTTCTCTGAATATGGACTCCGAATATAAATTAAACAGAAGGGGTGATAAGACGCAACCCTGTCTCACTCCTCGTCGGATTTGTATATCTTCAGATGTTGTGTGCTCTATTTCAATGGTTGCCGTTTGGACAACAGACAGATGATAAGAAGAGTGGAACAACACAGAAGATGTTGCTCAGTGGACCAAGAAGCTGATCCTGAGCCTAAGGGTCTGGGTAGACTGTGGTCACAGGCAATTGGACTACTTTCTGACGCAAGTGCTCACAAAACATGGGTATTTTAGGACATATCTTTGTAGATTCAGAAAGATAGATACAGATAAATACCTATACTGTAAACTCACTGACACTATTACTACACAATGCTGGAGTGTAATAGATGAACAGTGGAGAGAAACATAATGTATAAAGAAATAGGTATAAACTCTTTTACTGTGAGAGATATGATCGTGAAGATGACGGGGACTAAGTAGGGATAGTACATATTGTACATAATTATATTCGAACAGCAAATAAAAAGAAAGAAAAAGAAAAAAAATTAGCCAGATCAACGACAGAGATGAGATGTAGATAAAAGAAGGTAGTCCTCCGAAAGTATCGTCAGCCTTACAGCTGCCATCATTGGAGTTCAGTTTCTCAATCAACTGCACACAAGTAGGAGAGGGTGGTTTTAGTTGGTAGGCAGGATAACAGGAAGGCATCTCTTTACAGGACCTCCTTCTTCTAAGGGGAAATGGGCTCGGATATACTCCTCTATCCTGAATCCAACACACGCCATAGATCATTAGAGATGGGTTAACCTGGTACTGTTTTTACAAATTTCCACCCTCTGAGAGAAAAAAAAAAATATTCACAATATCGATTCAATATTTGTATCGATTCTTATCGATATAAAATGCTTAGGACTTAGCGAAATCAGATGACTTAACCATGGTAAATGTACTTAAGAAAAAGTGATACTATATTACTCAGGGAATAACCTACCACATCATTATGACGGAGTTGGATTTCTAGTTAACACGGCCTTAAACAAATCAGTAAGGAACTTCGTGGCATACTCAGATAGGGCAGCACAACTACAAGTTTAAGCCGATCTTGTTGACCTTAACATTATACAAATATATGCAACCTTGGACAAGCCTAAAAATGAAGTAAAATCAATTGTACAGAGAGATTAAGAATTTAAGGAAACTGATCAAGAAGAAGCTGCTAAATGCAAAATGGGAACAGACCATAGAAATTAAGGCGAGAATAGAACGAGCTATAGCAGCATTTAGCAATATGAAAAAGCTCCTCATAAGCAAGGATTTGTCTCTTCTCCTAAAACTACGTCTAGTTAAATGCTACATTTTTCCGATCTTGCTGTATGGCGTGGGGGCCTGGACGCTGACGGAGACGCTAACGAGGAAACTAGAAGCATTGAAATGTGAGTGTACCGACGCATTCTTCGTATATCCTGGACCGAACATGTCCCCAACATAGAGGTACTCCAAAGAATCGGAAAGGAGAAAGAGATCGTGAATACAATTAAACAAAGAAAGCTTGAATATCTAGGCCACATATTGAGACACGATAAGTACCGTCTGCTACAATTGATTGTCCAGGGAAAAATAGACAGTAAGAGAGGGCCAGGCAGGAGAAGACACTCGTGGCTCCAAAATCTGCGGAAGTGGTTCGGGCTCACATCGGTCGAACTATTCAGAAGCGCCGCAAACAAGATCAAAGCTATCGTAACCACCACCAAGTCTCTGATCGCTTTCCAAAAGTACAAAATTAAGAATTTGATGTCTGAAGAAATATTATCATTAATGGACGACCGCAGATAAGTTAAAAACAAAGACCGAACCAAACATCAGCAGATTAACCGACAAATACGAACATTTATATTATCCATTAAATCAATCCATTAAATCAATATACCATTAAATCGAATGGGCAGAGAACGAGAATTGCTGCCAATAATAAATAGAAAAAAAACAGCTTATTTGGGTCATATATTTCTAAATTCCAAGTACCAGTTCTTAAAGCTTATTATGGAAGGGAAGATAGAAGGAAAACGGGCATCGGAAGAAAGAAATACTCATAGCTTAAAAAAATAAGGGATTGGACAAACCTTGATGCACATGTACTGTTTAGAGCCACACAAGATCGAGAGGAGTATGCCAGAATTGTCGCCAACATCCACTAATTGGATAGGGCACCAAAGATTTTTATCGTGATCATTTGGACGTGGAGTTTTTTTAATAAAATAACCAGACTAAAGGAAGGCGATTACATAATTCACTTATTTTAAAGTGTTACGTGGAGTTATAGGTGTAAATAAACGTTAACTTAAACATCTAATTATGTGCTTTCTTTCTAGGTTCTGATTTCTTGCTTGGACAGAGTAAACCATGAAATAAAGCTATTGAAAGATGAAAAGTTTGATACCGAACGAGAATTAGATGCTCTTGGAATACCGCTGGGGATAATATCGGAATGTATTTCAATGAGAGATTGCAGACAAGGCACTGAGCTTACATATGACGAAGGGGACACAGAACTTAAAAAAGTATGTATGTTTGTTTATTATTTTATTGCTTTTTTTCAAATATTTTAGCATTCAATGTTTTCGAACTTTTGAGTTCATTTCGTCTATATAACTAATATTTTTTAGAAACAAATCGAAAATAAACTTAAAAATGTTTTAGTTACTCTTGACATAGTTGTAAAATACATTTATTAATATGCAACTAAAAAAAAACATTAAAAATAATTAGATTTAAACTAAAGGACAATACATTATAAAATGGACAAAACCAAACACATCATCTCTATTGGAGCTGTTGGGGTTTAAAAGCTGTATTGATGTGCAATATATGACGCAGCATTCAGCTAGCCCCGCTTAACCTTTCCTACTCCGATTTCCACCTCCTCAACTAAAGAACAATAAGGCCCCGGGCCCAGATGGAATACTTGTAGAAATGTTAAAGGTGTTGAGTGAAATTATTCTCGAAGAATTCAAAGTTTGACAATACATCTCTTCAAAAAGGAGACAGGGGAGATCTGAAGAACTATAGGCCAATCTCCTGCTGTTCTAAATGTACAAACTGTTTATGAGAGTAATAACTAACAGATTAACGTCAAAGCTCGATAGCTATGCACCGGTAGAACAGGCAGGATTCCGAAAGGGTAACAGTACAGCGGATCATCTTCTTACAGTCAGAACTCTAATAGAGAAAGCCAATAAATATCTTGAACTTGAACTTATACACTGGCTTCGTTGATTATGAAAAGGCATTTGACTCCATAGAACGTTGGGCAATAGAGAGAGCTCTAAACAACTGCAGGATAGACTCCCAATACAGAATGCTTATACATAATATTTACAAGAAAGCTACAATGAATATACAAATAGATGCGAAAACCAAAGCTACACCAATCAACAGAGGAGTTTGCCAGTGAGATGTTATCGCACCAAAGCTATTCACACTTGGACTGAAAGACGTGTTCAAAGACATTAACTGGGCAGATAAAGGAATAAATGTTATAGTGTATTTTTATGTATGAGAGAGTAATAAAACAATAAATTATGTATGCAAATCCCTAAACTGTTGATACGGGTGACTCAATGAAAAACAGATATTTGTCAACAAGTTTACAGAAGTATATGGGATAACAATTTTAAATTGAGTATGACCACCAGGTATAAAGGTTGGAGCAGAATAGAATGCAATAGTTGTGAGGGTTACTAATCCCTAAATAAGGTTGCCAGTGTCGGAGTGATGGAGGTTAACAGGTACTAATGAATTTGCAAGAAATGTAAGATGTTTATTTTATTGGTTATATATAACCAATAAAAGTTTAATAAGTACCTACCTATTTGCAAAATAAAGTTTAATTCTTTAGATAAAATAAAACGTTTTATTTTATCTGAAATGAGTGCATTCCACGAAGTAAGGGTTTCAACAATCAAACATTTAATTCTTTAATTCAGGAATCTACGACAGTAATTGACTAGATAATTACCTTCTAAACTTATTCCACAGAAAATGTGATAGTGGGTTTTTCCATTTTGTAGGAAGGTCCAAGTGGCGTATTCAAAATTCTTAACAGTTCACTAAAAGTAGGTACTTCAGTTGCAAGGTGCAGTTTATTGTGTATACTAGTGTTATGGAAAATTTGGAAGTGTCGTGTAAACGCCGAAAAATTGGTCCTTTAACAGTTAATGAAAAAACATTAATATTTAATTGTTTTAAATCATTTACAGACAAACGTTTATGTGAAAGTGTTGATGAGACCGTTGAGTTAGTTAGCAGTACACTTGGTGTTGGGAAATCTACGATTTACAAAGTTATTAAAGAAGAGAAATGTGGTAGTTTTCAAGTGCCACGTAATGCTCCAGAGGAAACCAAAATTTCAAATAGAATATCATTTTAAAGAAGGACTTCGACGGAAAGTGTATGAATTCTTCTTTAGACAAGAATTTCCAACATTGAATAAAGTTCTTGTCTCAGTTCGAGATGATAAGGATTACCAGAAATGAGTCGAAGTACGTTATGGAAACTTTTAAAAGAAATAGGCTTCCGCTGGAAAAATAATCCCAGAAAGTCTATTTTATTAGAAAGAAGCGATATTGTCATATGGAGAAGACATTTTCTAAGAACCATAAAGGAAATGAGAAACCAAAAAACGAAAAATATTTTATCTTGATGAAACATGGATCAACGAGGGTCATACACCAAATAAATTTTGGCAGGATAAAACTGTTACAAGTCAAAGGCACGCTTTTGTAAATAACTTATCTATTGGTTTAAACCCACCATCAGGAAAGGAACGCAGGCTGATAATAGTACACATTGGCAGTTCAGACGGTTTTGTTGAAGGTGGTTTATTAACTGTTGAATCAACTCGTACTGGTGACTACCATGAAGACATGAACGCTGATGTCTTTCAAGAATGGTTCGAACAAATGATAGATCTTCTTCCTAAGAACTGTGTAACAGTAATGGATAATGCAAGTTATCACTCCAGACTTATAGAAGGACTGCCCACAACCAAGTGGTTAAAAAAAGACTTGCAGAATTGGCTGAGTTCAAAAAATATTACGTACCATCCCGGATCTATAAGAAAGGAACTTTATTCGTTGTGTGCCCTTCATAAAGAAAAATTTTAAAAATACGAAATTGATGAAATTGCCAAAAATCGTGGAATGGCAGTACTTAGATCCCCACCATATCATTGTGAATTAAACCCGATTGAACTGGTATGGGCACAGATAAAGAGTGAAGTTTCAAGAAAAAATACCACTTTTAAAATTCATGATGTTAAACAGTTGTTTTTGGAGGCCGTAAATAATGTAAAACCTGAAAACTGGGAAAAGGCAGTAAATCACACTATTAAAGAAGAGGAAAAAATGTGGAAGCTGGACAATATTACTGATAAAAATGATCGAGCCAGTTATTATAAATCTTGGTTCTGAAAGTTCATCTTCTGAATCTGATTTGGATTTGTAACAATTAGCTGTAAGTTTTATATTAATATTTTTATTCATCTATTTAACATACCTTAGACGGTTTTAAAAACTCTTTTTCTCTTTTGTAATTTTTAAGAATTAAAAAAAATGTGAATTTTTTAAAACCCTTTTTAATGTAGGACCAGTCAGTTCTAATATAGTGTGTGATAAAAGAGGTCACTTTTGTTTACATACACATAACACTTTATAACATTGAAATAATTCATTTATTTTTTACAATTATTCAAAGTAATTTTTCAATTAATCTTGAGCACGCCCATGGAGTGGTCGAAGGTACCAGTTAAAATTATGCTAATTACTCTCTCGTTTAAAAAAATAAACTATAATGGAAGAAAACTGAGTCATTTAAGATACGCTGATTGAATTGTAATATTTGCTACAAGTTTCGAAAAACTACAGACCATGATGACGCAACGATTTCAGGCTTCGGAAAAAGTAGGTCTTAAGATAAACTTGGAAGAAACAAAAATAATGACAAATACACCAAACATTAGAGAAATACCGTTGAAAGACATACATTTAGAAACAGTAAGCAAATACATCTACCTAGGACAGATAATGAAAGTTAACAAAGAAAATCAAACTGCCGAAATTACCAGAAGAATAAGGTTAGCTGGGTAGGATTTGGAAAACTGGGTTGGATCTTGAAAAGCATTAAAATAGAACAATATTTGAAAATCAGAATTTACGATCAGTGTATCCTCCCTATACTCACGTATGGTTCACAGACGTGGACACTCACCAAGTCTAATATGGATAAAATAGTAAACGCACAAGAGCGAAGGAAATCCAAACAAATGGATTAGAAGCAAAAACCAAAGTAAAAGACGCAGAACATGCTGCCAAATTAAAATGGAGCTTCGCAGGACACAATGCCCGACTGAAGGATAAGAGATGGAACCACGAAATACAACAATGGAGACCATGGTTAGGAAAGAGAAGCAAAGCAAGACCACAAATGAGAGGGGCGGATCATATTAAGAAGTTCGGAGGACACAACTGGAAGCAAGTGGCGCAAAATAGAAGACACTGGATTGATTTGAGGGAGGCCTATGTCCAAAGTTGGATTCTTCTTCTTCTTCACATGCCATCTCCTCTAAGAAGGTTGGCAACCATCATGACAATTCGCACTTTCGACGCCGCTGCTCTAAAGAGGTCAGCAGAAGTGCAGTTAAACCAAGCTCTCAAATTATTTAACCAGGAGATGCGTCTTCTTCCGCGACTCCTTCTACCCTATATTCTTCCTTGCATTATTAATTGCAACAAGTTATAACACCTCGACATTCATGACTCTATCTACCCAACTTATTCTTAATATCCTTCTGTAGGCCCATAACTCGAAGGCTTCCAATCTGTCCGAAACATCTTTCTTTAAAGTCCAAGCCTCCAACCCATAAAATAAGACGGAGAACACATAGCATCTCAGAAGTCTTATCTTTAAAGAAATTGAAATGTCCCTGCTGAAGGGTACTTTTTCAGTTTGTTGAAAGAATTTCTTGCCTGTCCTATTCTTGCCTTAATCTCTTCTGTGTACTCATTATTTTCATTGACTATTGTACCCAGATATTTATATTTTTCAACTTTTTTAATTTGTTTTCCATGTATTGTTATGTTTTCTTGGCGCTGTTGGACTTTTGTAATTACCATAAATTGTGTCTTTTTTGTGTTTTACCATAAACCGTATATTATTGATTGGTCGGCCATTTACTTTTATTCCCATAGTTAGTTGTTCTAGTGCTTCCTGGATTATTTCCTCTGAATACAAATTAAACCAAGTAGGCGACAGGACACAGCCCTGCCTGACGTTACTTTCGTCGTAGAAAGTTACTTTCCATTGGTAAAAGCTACGAAAATGAACCCCAGTAGCCCAGCAATTTAATGTCAATTTCGCATGGCATCCTTCAGCCAATATCCCCTCCCAATTTTCAACCTTCGCTTGTCTAAGCCCTTCTAAGTTCACAATCCGATGTTCATTTCCAAGTTGGTTCCTGTGGCAAGCGGTCTTATCTTCGACAATCGGCGGTAAGTGAATTTTC